TGGGAAATTGTAATTACCTCGAGTGCAATCATCCATGATTTGCCTAGCGTACCTATGATGGCAACCACAAGTAAAAGAAGTACCATTACAGAGAGATAGCATGAGATGTACTGCAGCTTAGGTCGGGCTAAGGTTGAATGTCGAACCATCAACCAGAACCATGCAGCTACACCCACATAGTCCACAAAGAGAACAAAGAGGCCACCCGGATGGACGGAGCTCAGGAGGAAGGTTCCAGCGAGAGACAACGCTACCTTAGCCAGCGCGGAAAGAACGGCGAAAGTAGGGTACACGATGCGTAGAAATCGAGGTGTGAATATATTTTCACGCTGTTGAAAAATTACATGAAGGTACTGTGGTACCGTTAGCCGACAGTAGGCCTCGCTCATTCCATGCAATGAAGACCTACTGCTTGTAGCGGTGGGGATAACGGAGTAACCCAAAAGAGCACTTGGCTCCATCTTGGAAATCTTTTACTCCAGAACAGCCCGGTAAGAATAGCAAAGGGAACACATGAGAAGGCACACAAACCCAAGTCGAATTTGTGCCACCGCCACTTGGATGGAATACAGTACAAAAGAGACAGTCTTCCAACGTTCAGAAGTAGAAGAATAGTGACTAAAACAGATTTGATAATGTCTTCTGAAATCATGGCTATAATTTCTTAGCAGCAGACACATCTTGGGATTAGAGATGGAGGTTTATATAGCCAAACCCACAATTGCCTAGTCATGAATGTATAGATCCCAGGAGCTCTTCATCTGGTTCCAAAGTCTTCTCGACGGATCGCATACTCAACTTTCTACCTTTATCTCAACTTTATGGCATTGCGGAAGAACTGAGGTCTTCAATTAATGGTTCGCGGTAACATTTTGTTTTCCTTCCGCGCTCGAGAGCAAGTCCCGCTTGAAAGCCTGGAACATATTGCTGAGCCAATTAGTATCGCACCTGCTCATTCTCGCCCTTGCTGATATGAGACTACCTGCATGGGGAAAGCGATCAAAATAATGAACGTTCACATTTCACTTTACTAGTAATGGGTGCAGTCAGTCATCGCTTCAAAATGGCCGATTGCAAGTGCATTTCGCCTTTTCAATGTCGACGGAATGCGATACGGTTGTGAATATATACCGGAATCTTACAAATCACGAGATCTGACTATATCGCTGGCCGCCCACATAATTCCTTTAGGCCTGTCATCGGAACAGTAGAAACTTGCGCGCTGCCTACAAAATGCTCGGAAATCTCACAAGCTTGGATGGAACAACGCTCTATCTTTGGGACGGCTTGGTAATCGTTATGCACGTATTCCCTTTCTGAAAACGACTCAAATACCGATACAGAAAGAAACTAGATCCTAGATATTAGCTCTAGTAGCTTATTGGTATTTATTTTCCCAGTCACGTCTGAGTTCCTGTTGCCTTGGAATCATGTCTCTTGGCTACACGTGTAATTTGGATCATTGTATGGCAGAAATAGTTTCCGGTTGGACTTACAACAACAAAGATATTTGTACTCAAGGAAATGCTGTAATGTGCTGATCCTCAGCAAGGTTGGATACACTCTTCCTTCCTGACGGGCGTTAGGGTTGTCCAATGCAACAAGCAGGCTTGCCAGATCCAGCTTCCTTTATAGCTGCATCTCAGTGGCCTAGAAGAAAGGCGTATCATTGTGGTCTCGTTCACCACCCATCCTTGACTGTCCATAGAGCGCTTATCATTCCAACAAAAAGTGTAAATGTCTATAACCTTAGAGGGTTGTCTCTTTCTACCTGTATGTATTGAACGAGCAGTGGATTAGAGCGCATTGGTATTTAGTTCCTGTGCTTTACCACATGCGATATGTAAAGAGGAGCCCGTAAAAGGTTGTCTTGGTGGTAGACATGACGGAAATACTTTCGCTATTTTAGTTATAGTTTCAGTCTGTTACGAAAGTACAACTATAACTGATAAGGTTTCTCCTTGCTTCATGATTACATGCAGCACTGCTAGAACGAATGTAAACGACATAAAATAGACGCAAGAATCAAAATAAAAACAGTATGCGAATCTTTATGCACATCCCATTGGTGATTCAGTTATGCAGTTGAATGTCAAGTAGTTCACCTAGACAGTTCACTGGCCGTAACAGCAATAACAGAACACAGGACATGGCGTTTCACGTGATAGTCTCTTGGGTCTGGCAGTCGCTTCTGACTACCGCCCCCCTCTTGGTATCAAGACATGTAAGGGATCGCTACCTGCATGACAACTTTGGAATACTCCACGAGGCTGTATGTTGAAACCAAGTACATGCCGTGTAGACTGGGCTGCCCAATCCGCGCCAAGCCAATTCTCTCAAGAGGACGACAAATGTAGAAAACATAACCGAAGAAATTGATGAGCAGCAGTCGACCGAATGCAGTGGCCAGTGGGGAGGGATCGTGGAGTGGTTCGGCCAATGCATGAATGGTGGGCACCAACGCCAATAGGCCCACTGGCGCATACTGGCAGAATCGACCACGAAAGGATACCGTGTTATCTTTGAGGTAGCCGTCAGGGAGGCTTCCAACAACGATTACGGTGAAGGCTGAAGCGTATCCAAGTCGTAGCAATGGTTGGGCTGGAAAGAGAAACGCGACCGTCGGAAGAGCAGAGGTCCAAATGAGGAACAGACCAACAAACCACAATGAGACTTGCTCTTTTGTCTTTGTTTTGTTGTGGAGCACACAGAAACCATTTTGGATGACAACACATAAATGCCACAAAGCGATTCCGCCACCAAAGGCGATGACTGCCAGGGCATATGGGATCGACTCTTGAGTTGAAGGAAAATGGAAAATCAAAAATAGTAGCAGATAAACGACAAAGTAGTAGAGCCCGAGCATGCCAATTATGATATCAATGGCACAGTTGCGCAGGTTATGGTAATCGAGAGTGTCCATTTTGCAAAGTCAAAGTAATTTATTCCGACTGGATTGAGGAGAATTATTCAGGCGGGTAGGCTTTTTTATAGCCAAGTGTGGAGCTCAGGTCATATTCTTTACTGCACAAGTCAGTATTTGCTGAAACACGAGGAAGGGTGGAAGTGACACTTTATGCGGTGGTGATCACCAGAACGGTTGAGGTGAAGAACCATCATATCAACAATGACGACCTCAACGGCTGGACCCTCAGAAATGAGCACGTTCATGTTGAACAGTCGAGGCATGCATGTTTATCTGTCGTTGTCCCAATGATCTTCGGGCTATGTGACTGGCCTATGTGTGCAATGACTGTGATGGATAGGAGCATGGTATATTTCTCACTACGTAACTAAAGGCTATAAGGGTGAACGTGCTTATTCGTTTTCTCTTGCACAAAACGTCCTCGCGAAATCCAGAAATGGAACAGATTGTACATATTATTCGCCAGATCGGCCAACAGCAAGCACACAATGCTTACTATCGTGATTGCTATGCTCTCTTCAAGCTACTCCAAGACCTCACAGAACACACTTTCAACGAGCTACAAACACTTTACCGATCCGGTACCGGGGACACGAACAATTCCGTGCAACAAGTACTCCGAAATTTCCAGAA